CTCACGAAAACAGGCTGGTCTCACATGATCCCAAGTATATATATATATATATATATGTGTATGTTGCTAAAATCTCGTTTATCATGTAAAATGGATACTAAAAAACTAGAAAAAGTAATTATGCCTAATTAGAAACCAAAACAAACTTTGTCAGATTTTTTTAATTAATTATCATCGGTTTTATAGATTTTTGTTTGGCTAAGGGGGCGTTTACCAAACGTTTACCCGAGCAAGCGTTTAGCAAGTCACATTACGTTACCGCATAAATATGCCAAGTATCAAGAATCTTACACCGTAAGAATGAAGACAAGGACCGAAGATTTTACCCGGCAAGTGATGGCGGACTCTTACCATGATCAGCGCTTATCGGGTAAATTGTTGCATACAATAACGTTTTGGTGGACTAAAATTTTAACCGGTAAATAAATGATAATATTAAATTTTACCGAATAAGTGTTTGGTAAATGATTCATAACATAAAAGATAAGTTTGAAAAGTTGTCCCACATCGGTGGAGTAGTAAATGGTGAAAGAATTTCATTCCTTTCAAATTATGGCAATAAAATACACTTTAAATTCTTGTATTCTTTCTCTAGTATTGTTCATTGTTCAAGTTGCTGGAAACACTTAGGCCAATTTCCAAACACGTGGTATCAGAGCTCCAGGTTGGGTGGAGGAGGTTTTAGTTAGAGGGTTTTTAGTATGTTTTTTGGTTTCAATTTTGTCTGAGTTTTCACAAAATAAAAGAACTATCTCTTGATTAACGGGGTATATGAGATTGCCTATTTAAAGTATTTATTAACTTATTTCGGTGTGGTATCTGTAATAAGAAGTTTTTCGTGTTTGGAAGGAAAAAAAAAAAGAAAATACTTATGTCTGTTTGACACCGGTAATAAAGAGTTTTTGATAAGTTATTTCTTTATAACTTATTAACTTATTCTGATGTGGTACCGGTAATAAGGAATTTTTAGTGTTTGAATGGAAAAAAAAAAGGTATCTCATCGATTTTTTCAACTTATTCAGTGTGGTACCGCCATGTAGTATGGAGAACGTACAAAGATAGGGCAGCGACGGGGAGCCATGCCGTTGGGTGTGAGGGGTTTGTATGGCCTATGATTTGTAAACGATAAACTTTAGTTGTTTACTTTAAAAAGTTCCTATCTTGTTACATGTAACTTTTTTGGATTAAAAAGTAGGGAATTAACACTTAAAAGTTCGATAGCTTATTGGTTCGAAAAATGTTCAGTGACTTAACTATTCAAAATGAGAAGATTTAATGACTTCTCATTCAATTTTTTTGAAAGACTTAATCATTCGAAGTGAGAAAATTCAATGGTTTACTCATTTAAAAAAATATTAAGTTATTTAATCATTTAAAATAAGAAAATGCGCTTGGTTTTTCTAAAGTTTTCCCAACTGAAAACCCGACTTCGACTACCTTGCCAAAAAATCTATATTTTTCAATAGCATCTTAAAGAATTGGTAAGAGCTAGCATGCTTATCTATCCATATATATATATATATATATATATATATATATATATATATATATACTAGTGTTTATATTGAAATGAAGAAAGATACCAACCAGCAGAGGCAGCTTGAATGTCGTTATTTCCGGGATCTCGGTAGTGAGGGCGTATGATGACGGTAGACCCGTTATTATCATCATAAAAATCTTCTAAAGCCATTGAAATGCAAACCCGACTGCTCTTTCCGATATAAGAATCCATATCAAGAATCACCCCTACTTGTATTTCTCTTGTCCCATTTTGTGCACCAATCGTCGTCATTATCATCGTCGTCGTCATCATCATCATCGTTAATGATACCACAAGATGATGATTCTCTTGCATCTTCTTCTCTCTAAACATTTCTTATTTTAGTAGGGGAATTAGGGTTGGTGGTGCAACAACTAAATTATATAGAAAAAGAGGAATCTCTTAGTAGCTAAATATTGTCGCAATCCATCACATCCTGCAACTAAAGAATAACATTTAATATCATTTTGACCGAGTCGTGTAGGTAGTTGTATTTTTTAGACCGGAAAAAAGAAAATATGAGCTTTTATTAATATGCCCATGTAGGAGAAATATGTTCCACTACTTAATGATTATTTAAATATGCTCATATTCGTTTTTATTAAAAATATGACCATATCATTTTCTCGTTATCCCATTTTTAGATTAGTTGAGCCTGCGACAGCAAATGCTAGTTTTAAGTCGAAAACTAAGTGCTAGGGGCTTTGTGAAATCCTCTAGATGTTAATAGGTAAAAGAATTGGAGTTGGTTGAAGATATTAATCTCTCTCTCTCTTTCTCTCTCTCTCTCACTACAAGACAACATAGTACTAGTGACGAAAATCACCAACGGGTTATAACTTGTGGTGATTTCCGACGGATTATAGTCGTCGGAGATTTTTGATAAAAAGTAGATTTTGGTGATGATATATGTTTTCCGTCGGTAACTTAAACATTAACGAACGGATTATAAACATTGTCCTCACCATAACTACCCATACCCCTATGATCTATCTCCAACAATTTTGGAAGACCATCAAATACAACCCTAAAGCTGAACACCACCACTTCACCGCAAACAACGACCACTTCGACATGACGTTGACTCTAAGGAGGTTGAGACGCATCTTAAGACTTCTTGAAAAAACTTCACAACTGGGGAAAGAAGATTTTGTTGACTTTGCCTCAGATCATCAAATATGCACTAGATCTCTGCACCCTAGGGTACGCTGAAAACATTACTACAGCGGGACATTTTAAGAGGGTGTTCCTACCAGCAATCTGGTATACGTTTTTCCAGCATAATCAACCGCTGCATGACATAAGCACACAAGGATGGACAGGTGCAACATATCCATCTTGAGGATGTTCCACAGGATCGCCTTCAACCTGCACTATGGCTATGCAGTCTTGATCTAGAACGAACTTGTCGAGGTGGTGCACGACGAGTCGAACAATAAAGCTAGAAAGTTTGTGTCGTTTGAAAGGTTTCTTCATATAATTAAAAATAAGCCTGATGCGTTCGAACAATGAGATCCTAAAGCGCACAACTGAAGAAGAGAAGACCTGAAGGCTACAAAGGTGCTTGCTTTATAAAACTTTGGGGAGAGATCTTTAAGACCAAATAGTCCTAAATATTAGAAAGTTTTATAAAGTCCTTTGTATTGGATTGTATTGTAATATGTTGTATTTGGGCTTAAGGGAAAATGAAATTATTTGTAAATGTCACGTATAAATAGGTTACATGGGCTAGAATATTGTTGTTCTTTCTAAACATTCCCATGAGATTCGATTAACTGTGTGAGAGGTTGTAATTTTCTGTTTTTCATCAATAAATGAATCTGGCCGATTCTTCATGTTCTTCATCTTCAATCTCTTTCAATTAACAATTTTTATCTTGATTTGCTGTGGATTTGAGATCTATAATTTATTCACTAAACCTCTTGATGAATCAAGATTCAAGTTTTTTTTTCAGTGAATTGGGAATGTTAAATGTTGAAAATTAAAAATATGTATGACTAAGTTATATGTTAGCTGATCATTTCATTATAATTTTAAATTTCAATATTTTTTAAGACATAGTCTAAAGAATAAAGTAAACTTTACATCATGCGATGTTCATAATCTGATCAAAAGCTAGCGATCAAGTTCATCGTCCGATGAATATCAGGTACTGCATCCTAACTGTTAATCTTATGTAACACCTTCAAATTTAGAAGAAAAAAACCCCGCCTAAAATGAAGTTTCCAACAAAACATCAAATAAGGAGTTAATCCCTTTCTATGAGTCAACAACTGATTTCTTATAATGGCAATATAAACCTTAACATCAATATAATATATTTCGAACTTTATACAAGTCTACAATAAGATACGGGTCACTAAAACCCAACAACAGTTGCTATCTCCAACACATAAAAATGTCCTTGAGATGGTTAATTCCTTCTCATGCCTCTAATTAGCTCTCATCTTATTACAATGTCGCTGGTACCATTCCCCCAAGGACCTGATACACATGTCGACAAAAAAAATGTTAGGCTTAACACCTAATAAGTTCAAGCAGTTTTCATCAGTTATATAAAGGGGTAAAACAGAAAGAATGTTAATCACAAATTTCCAAGATGAAATGTATTTAACATAAAAGTGATATCTTTCTCAAAACCCACCATTTTCATGATGAAAACCTATTAATCAAAAGACCCATAGAACATGAAACTAAAACCAAAATACTCGTACAAAATGTGAATAAGGATTTATATCCAAATTCCCAAAAACAAGGGTAAAACTCTATTACTCAAAATGCTAATACATGGAGGAGATATAATATATCAAACTCATATATACATTACGGTTACTCTCCAAACCGAAAAACACCAAAACATGGATAATACACTATCCAAAAATAACATCTAACGTGACGGGGAAGACCCAAACCGTGAATGTGGCAAGCACAAAGTAAGCCATACATCAACGTTATCAAGTAGCACCTCAAGATTCAATTGACCTTATTGTCTATCTAAACGAATAACACCTCAAGGATCAACACGCTTAATGTCTACCTTCAAGGTAACAAATCAAGCAGCGGAGTTCTTAATACCTACCACCATGGGTAGCACCTCAAGACTCAATAATCTTAGTTATATTTGGAGTAGCACCTCAAGGATCATGATCTTATTGCCTACCCCATCAGGTAGCAACTCAAAGCATATGGTTCTTAGTGCCTACCACTTTGGGTAGCACCTCAAGACTCTAGTCCTTAGTGCCTAATCAACTTGACCAACAACCTCAAAACGAGGGTCCTAGAGTCCAACCTGCCAATACCCACACAACCACTAACACAAGACTAACTCACATATTTATGGATCCAATGCATTACAAACTAAATTACATAACTCCAACTGAACAATCAACGCACTTAAAACATGTAACTTATAAAAGAAATATGGTATAAATTTATAAAACTCCAAAAGGTCAACACAAAACAATTTAAACCGGAAAAATGTGCCCCAAGACGCATCTTAGTCAAACACGAGCCAAAAGTTTAACAACTCAATTTGACTATTAAATAAAGGTCATCATAATCGATAAAATGTATTTAATGAATGTTTATGCAAATACAATCCCTAAAGACATGGTTAGCTCTAAAAACCCACCACTGGATGGGACAAACCATTTTTCAATTAAATCATACAATTTACATTTCCAAAATGTCGCATAACATTACACATTTTCCAAACCAATTATAATAAAAATGCATTAGCACCAAAACAATCTCCATTTATAAGATAAATCATCAAAAGAATCCACACTTGTGATTTAGTTATCAAAATGTCTAAAAACCTAAAAGTTGAACTATTTGATGTATGGGGAATAGATTTCATGGGACCATTTCCTATTCCTGGAATTTGTCAATACATCTTGGTAGTTGTTGATTATGTTTCTAAATGGATAGAGGCTGTAGATTCCATAGCAATGATGCAAAGACAGTGGTCAAATTCCTTCACATATTCACCAAGTTTGGCACCATTAGAGCCATGATTAGTGATGAGGGCACACACTTTGTGAATAGCATTATGAAGGAAGTACTTGAAAATTATAAAATCTTGATCCTTATATTAGCCCTCTCCTCCTATTCTTTAAAGTGCATTAATCAGGCTGTGAAGTGAAGGTCCGTTTAAGAAGAATAAGCAGCTATTTTATCCACTATAGTTCGACTCGAAAGGTCTTTCAGTGACCGACTTAGAAAGACCAATTAACAATAGCTCATAATCGAACTGTAGGAGCTTGTCATGTACGAATAAAGGAGCAAAGCTAACTTGACCGAACGGTAGAGGTTGTTTAAAGTTTTTTAAAACGTCTTTTTAACTGAATTACAACAAAGTGGCTCAAGTTAAACTTTTGGCTTGCTACAAGCTGGGTACACCAACTTAATCTCGATCTCTGAAACAGTAATCGACCTTCCACCATCTGTCATTTGATCTTTTTGCAGAAGCCAGGAGAAAGAAAAGAATACTGACAAATATAACCTACATGTCCAATTGAACTATCATTTGCTTGTTGTGCAGTGATAGTACCAATATCCACCCTGCAGACACGTACTTTGGGGCCGAATTCTTGGTTGTGCTACTGGCAATGATTATAATAGTTATGGCCTTAGAAGAACAATAGCCTTGAAGGCTCGGGTTGGTCAAGCGAACTGATTTTCTTTTTTGTACGGGATGCTAGCAACGATGAACATGACGGGAGGTCACGTTCTTTGAGTTCCCTAAACATAAGCCACGGAATTGCTATAGCTTATCACCCTCAAACAAATAGCTTAATGTATTTAAATATGTTTTTCTAATATCTACAAATTTATTTATGTTTTTCATGTTGGGAAAATAGAAAATAACCTTTATAAATGTTATTTTATTAAGGTTGTATTGATTTTAAAAAAAATTGATTAATCATTATTTTATAAGATAAAAGACATTATAGATAAAATAATATTTACGATATTATTAATCATTTAAATCAATATATTCGCGCGTATGATTATAATATGAATTTTTTTTTGTACATGTTTAATCGATACTGATAGAAGGTAGTCTATGTAGTTCCATCGGGAATCCTCTAATATTTCTATTGTGGCGCAAATGTAAGCATTTGGTACTCTTGCTAATACCACTCGTACATAATGGTCAGCATTAACGTCCCAATTGCAATAACAACATGTTTAGAGCATGGCATGGTTGCATCTGTAACGGTAAGTACGTTGCACAAGTTTGCATATTA